CTCTCTCTCTCTCTCTCTCTCTTGAAGTTGTCATTTTCTAAGTTCAAATGTATCATGGCCATTATATGGAATTACAGGCTTAGGATGATTTGGCATGTTTTCAAAATTGTGGTCTCTCTCTCTCTCTCTCTCTCTCTCAAGTTGTCATTTTCTGAGTTCATATGTATCATGGCCATTATATAGAATTCCAGGCTTAGATTGATTTGGCATGTTTTCAAAATTGCGTTTTTCTTAGATTATTTATGAGTGAATGTTGTTAATTTTTTAAGCAAAGAGTGTCTTATATAATCTATCGTACCTCCTAGGTGGAAAGTACCCAATCAATGGATGTATGGTGTTGGACAGAGGGTTAAAACTTCCACCAGAACCAATCCTCGGTGGATTCATATTTTGTTTGTTTGAGAAACTCTTACAAAGAGGTCTTCACAAAATTTCTGTTATCCCTCCTCTTGGGAGCTTGAGGGGTGTCTGGAAATTTTATAAAGATATTTTCTTGAAAACAATCAGATATCAGTTCCTTTTGAAGTAAAGAGTCTTTCTAATTTTGGGTTGCTGTTTTCTTCTTTTTATTTTGTTACCTTGTAAAAAAGGCAAAATACACTAGCTAAGTAGGCACAAAAGAACAAGGAACCAGCGTTTAAAAAAAAAATCCAAACCAGTGCGATGCATTTAGTATCTTCTCTCTGTTTTTTTTTTCTAATGTCTTTATCCGAAATTACGTCAATCCAACCAAAAGACTCTATGACCCTTAATTCGCATTTGATATTATTTTCAGGGATTCGTGATATCAGACTGGGAAGGCATTGATAGGCTTGAGAATGGTGCCAACTACAAGGAGAAAGTGAAAGCAGCCATTGCTGCAGGTATTGACATGGTCATGGCGCCCTACACTTTTCAAGAGTTCATCAACGATCTAACAGAAATTGTGAATGAGGGTCACATTCCGATGGCCAGGATTGATGATGCTGTAAGGAGGATCCTCAGAGTGAAATTTGTTGCAGGCCTATTCGAACAACCCATGACTGATAGGTCCCTTATGGACATAGTTGGACACAAGGTCAACACTCTATATGTTTCCATCTTATTATCCATCTATCTGTTTATCTATCCATCTCTTTGGGTGAACGTTTTACTATATCTATCTTTGTGAAGTTTAGGCAGTTAAAGAACCTTCTTGATCCCTTCAGACCATGCTATATTTAGTTCTTACTGCATAAGGCAGTCAAGCTAATGTTTTTCTTACTTGATATTCTAAATCAACTCTTTTCCATGTAACTTACTTGCCTCATTCTTTTCTGTGATTGCTATGTAGTTGTTATGTTTTCTTCAGGAAAAGATGATCTGTGGTTCTAGCTTTTCTCATGAAATGTGTGAAACAAACACACAGTTCTAGATTTTAAGAATTCTTATACCTCTGAGATTTATTTGCGATGTTTCATTTCAATTTATTATCTTACTTCTCACTTGCATTTTACTTTTTTTCTTTCCCTTCTCTCAGAAGTATTACATTTCTAGTCATTCAATTATGCATTGTAAAAAAATGATTGGAATGTTGTAATCATAGTGGAGATAAAGGACTGTATTTCATATCATGTGCTTAGGCTTTCTGTAATTTGCAGACCCATCGAGAATTGGCACGTGAGGCTGTGAGAAAAAGCCTGGTTTTGTTGAAGAATGAGAAGGCCGGTAAACCAATGCTTCCCTTGAGCAAGAAGGCCCCCAAGATTTTGGTTGCCGGCTCCCATGCCCACAATTTGGGTTACCAATGTGGAGGATGGACCATCACTTGGGCTGGTAATGGAGGCAACACAACCATTGGTATGACTCTAAATATAGTCACAATTACGCTGATATTTTTCTACACTTATAAATCTTTGCAAATATACGAGGAAAGAGATGCATCCCCTAAAATATTTGTTCTATTCTAGTTCTTGAAAATGTTTTGCGAAACGTTTGGAAACAGGTTCCTTTTCTTAGGCCAACAAAAAAGAGAGTTTTATAGCATTTTTAGTTTTCAAAGCATTTTTTGTTTATGGTATCTGTGCTCAGTGATTAGGGAACAGATCATAAGAGTGCAGCACTAATGTTTTTGGGGAACTTCTCCCTTTTGAAGAAGTCAGGGGTCCCAAGACTGATCTCGAGATAAAATGGGGTGCTTTCATCCACGTTTTCAAGTTTTGTTTTCCTTGTTTTCATGAAAAATTTATCCCTCGCAAGCACTCGCTCATGTTAATAAGAAACTGCGGGGACTTTTCTGATTGCTTCTTTCAATATTCAAGGACTTTCCAGTGCATAATTAAATTTGCAAGCTTATCAATCCTTTTTTCTTTTTCCCCTTTTTTTTTTAAATGGCATAAGCTTCAATTGAAAACTAAGTCGACAATGTTGCATCCACAACCCCTTAACCATCAAACCATGCCCTTAAAAGTTGAACTGAGGTGAATAGCAAGCTTTTTATAATTTTGCATGTTCACGTTCCATAAACAAATTTAAGGCTAACATTCCACTTTCTTGGCCAACAGGAACTACAATCCTAGAAGGGGTCAAAGCCTCAATGAGCAAGAAGACCCATGTGGTGTATGAAGAGAGGCCTAACGAGAGATTCTTTGAGAACAACACCGGATTTTCATATGCAATCGTTGCGGTTGGTGAGACCCCTTATGTTGAGAGTGGAGGCGACAACTCTGACCTCACCATACCCTCAGGTGGTATCGAGACTTTAAGGACCGTGTGCACGAATGTAAGGTGCTTGGTTCTCCTTGTGTCAGGCAGGCCCTTAGTGATTGAGCCATACTTGATTGAAATGGATGCCCTTGTGGCTGTGTGGCTTCCTGGTAGTGAGGGAGGAAGAGGGATAGCTGATGTTATATTTGGTGGCCATGAGTTCCGCGGTCGATTATCAAGGTCTTGGTTCCGAAGAGTTGATCAGTTGCCTATGAATATAGGGGATGAGCATTATGATCCACTATTTCCATTTGGGTATGGGTTACAGATGAATCTCAAGGCAGGGCACTCTCTGTCTCATGAGATCCGAAGGCCTTCATCGTCTTCACCACCACTACCATCATTGACATTTTCTTTTTCTTCACTGTAGTCATAATAGTCATAATTGTTGTCATTTGCATTTTAAGTTTCACCATCTAACTCATTGATGCATGTATGAATCGTAGGCATTGTAAGCATTTTTTTTTTTTTCCTGTTCTTTGTAGTTGAGTGTTGTAAGCACCTGTAAATTTGTGTTTTTGAACTTGGGTGATTTGTGAATAGAATTCAGTTGGCCTAAGATTCTCTCTTTTGATTTTTTTGCTCTTTTATTTTGATGGCCAATGACTTCAAGCTGAAATTTATGAAGCTGGCATGGGATCTAGCAACCATCTTCATTATGATCATCATAGTCAAGTTCTTTTTGCAAAAATTATGGACAAATTTGGCCAGCTTTTTACAAAAGAGTTGTGCATGTTCTTGTTTTTTCAACAATATTGAGAAGGAAAATTGTTTCATGCAGAGGGATTTCTACATATGCAGTCATCGAGGTATATAGCATCCATCTTAAAGATGGATGCAAATAGGTGGTCCATCTAAAAACAAATAAAACTAACGGTCCAAATGTTTTTTTAATTGAATTATTATTTTTTTCAAATTTTATTTATTTATTCATATTTATGATCTCCATGTTAGAGATTACATGTCTTTAAAAATTAAGTCTAAAAATCTCAAAAATAATTTTTTAAGAGGTGACTCATTTTTACATGGACTCATAAAAACCGTGTCCTATTGAGAATGTCCTGTTTTTTAAAATTTAAACTAAAACATCCCTAAAATTCAACCAATGTTTTCTTTTTTGTCCTTTATTTGATAGAATCAAAACTATAGTTGAAATGTTTTAAGCCACGGTTCATCCAATGGCATTTAGGCATCCCTAAAATTTAACCAATATTTTCTTTTTGTCCTTTATTTGATAGAATCAAAACTATAGTTGAAATGTTTTAAGCCACGGTTCATCCAATAGCATTTAGGCCAAGTTTCGTAGACTCCTTGACTGCCTGCTTTAGGCTCAACTTTTATTATTATGCAATTTTTAAAATGTCTTGTATATGTAAAATTTATCCACATTTCCCCATTGTTTCTCATAGTGTTTGTATTTGATATATCTTAATAGTTTGTAAATTTACTTAAACGACCTGTTTGGATGGACCACTTATCACAAGCAACTTTACTTCTAATTTAGAAGTGAGGGAAAAGTTTAGGGGGGTGCTTGTGCATTGTTCGAGCCTATCATGAAGCTTTATATTAAACAGTAAAGCCACACCTGAAAAGTCTATTATAAAATACAATTCTGGTGCGGGGAACTCCTATGATTGATTAACAATCACTTTTGGCCTCTCATTAAGAAATTTGAAGCTCTAAAATAGTGCAAATAAATTACCCAAAAAACATTTGTGCAAATATGGCAAATTTGTAGACACTAAAAAATGGATGATCATTAAAAAATGGCAAAAGTTTTTATAAGTGCGAGGCTCTAAACAATCAAATTAAGGTGCATATCAAAAATTTAACTAGAAGTTGTTTTCATGCCCAAATATTCTCATATTGATCATCTCGACCTCAAGATGCATGGACATGAGAAAAATAGATTTCAAGTTTTTGAAATAGTGCATCTTGTAATGCATTTTTGGACCGTCAATTTTCAAGTTCTTATAGATCTGCTCGATCTACACTATTTTTTAACCTTTAAAGTTTATAATTAAAGATGAAAAAATATTTTAAGGGTATCACAAAGATTTTTAGTATTGAAACCACATTCTTCGACACTATTTGAAGGTGCCCTTTAGTTTGATTGTTTAGAGCCTCGGCTCTATACAAACCGCACCTTTAAAAAATAGACTGCCATGGGGACTTGAAATCTTTTTTTTTTTTTTTTTTCAAGTCTATAGTTTTTGCAATCCGATAATTAATTTGAGAGTTCTCCAGCATCATAGGTACAATTAACAATGAAATTTTGAGATCCAACATTACTTTTATATCCTAAAGTCTAGGCCTTGCAAGAACTATTTCCGCCTTTTAAAAGTAATGCTCCTCAAGCTATTTAAAAAGGAAAAAATTCATGTCTTTCTTTACATCCCAATTA